TTAAAACCTCTCAGACTTTTTAAAACCAAGTATAAGAACCAACATAACTTTGGGAAATACTACCTATAGGTCTAGCCTCTTCCCCAAGCTAAAATAAAATAGCTACACAAAAATGCATTCCTGGGCCTATCCAAGAAGAGACTTGCAAAAAAAAAAAAAAAAAAAAACAAAACAAGAACAAAATAGAAAAACTAAACTAATAGTTGGAGATGGAACATTCAACATTCAACCAGCTTTATTCCATTGGTAATCAGCAGAGCACCCTTACCTCAGCCTCACCTCTGTACCTAGTCAATGTTTGTCATGTCATGCTTTCTGTATTTGTCTTCAAAACTGGGACTCTGGATGTTCTTTATTGTCTGTACTGTTTCACTCCCCACTTAATATTATATGTCATAGAAAACTTGACTTTAGCAGATTTATGAATCATCATCGATACTACAAAAACTTACCAAACTGACACATATGGATCAATAAACAAAGAAGTAAGTGTAAAACAAATTTAAAAGCACAAAAGACATCAAAATGAAGACTTGTGCAATTTCCATGTTTTGCAAGGCTTAGAGTTTTCACAAATACTGTTTTATGAACGTCAGAGAATGCAGATTTGAAAACCACAGCCACTGACTGCCAAGAAAACAATCTGAGAACTGCACTCAGAGTTGGTGGTCTCATGGGACCTTAGACAAGCACAATTAATATGAGTTTGTAGAACAATTGGTCAATAGTATAGACTATGAATCTGGTAGTATGCTGAAAGGAAAAGTACCTAAGAAGATTCACACCAGGCTTGCCAATTCAAACTCTGCTGACTCTGACCCTAGAACTGAAAGGCCCTTGTTCCCTGGAAGGCCAACTGCCAAGCCAACACTAAAGATGGATGGACTCAAAGAACTGAAGTAGGTGAAAAATACCCTCTTCCTCTAGTTTTCAGCCAATGTCACTCTTGACAAACACATTGACTATCCTTAACACAAGCAAAAGTACATTTTTTGACACATTTACTTTACAATTAAATGGAACATCCTAATACTGACTTGCAAACAGTAACATCACAACAAACACTCCTTGAGTGTCACAACAGCCAGAAATTCAACTATCTCTAAAGTCTACTATAATCAATGTAATCAAGACTAAGCAGTAAATGGGGATTCGGGTGAAGGTGGTCAAAGGTACAAACTTTCAGTTATAAAATACCTACTGAAGATGTAATGTACGACATGATGACTACAGTTAACACTGCTGTTAGACTTGAAAGTTGCTAAGAGAATAGGTCCTAAAAGTTCTCCTCAAAAGGGGGAAAAACTTTTTTTTGTAACTCTCTGACATGATGGATGTTAACTAAATTTATTGTGATAATCATTGATGTCAATTACATCTCAATAAAACTGGGTGAAAAAAAAGAATAGGCAGTAAAGTTACCCAACTCTTTTTATTTTTATTTCCCTCATCTTTACAGAATGTTTACCTAAGGTAATATAAATCTATAATCTACAGTTTTTTAAGATAAATCCAAAAGAAAAACCTCAGTAAGACAGTCCTTTCAGTTATAGTAATGTGCCTGTACTGCAAACATCATAATGTATAATATCCTGCCTAACCTACCATTATAAAAGACAAGCTAAGCCATGCAAATGAAATCACAGCACCTAAAATCAACACCTGGATTGTTATTTTCCAGTTTTCATCCTAGCATGAAAAGGCAATCGTGGTGCCTACCTCTAACATCTCCTCCAATCCCCAGTTTCAGGTTTAAACCTCCTTCTTCAGTATTCCCATAGTACCTATCTCCTGAATTGAACAAAGCACGACAATTGTCTTACATACCTACACACTTACAAACTATGCACTGAGTTCCCCAGAACAAATACCTTGCTGTCCTTATCCTCCTAAGAT